GTAATTTGTACAAATGATTATTCTTTCAAGTCATTCAGCTGTTTCCTTCTGTTCGGTATCTGTCCTGTTCATGGGACCTCTACTCCCCATTATCCCTCATATGGGGTCTTTGCCATATTTGAACATCTTCTTCTCATTCTGTAGACTTAACTTAAATTAATTGACCATGAATTAATCGTAGGTGCAGCTTTATACACTAAACACAAGGGAAACTATCCCACTAACATACTTACACACCCGCAAAAACAAACATTTTTGCTGATTGGATCTTTGCAAATGTTAGAATTTTATGTTTATTCTGTTTTATCTTGCAAATTTAATATTTTTGAAGTTGGCCTGTCTGATTGCCTGCCCAGCAAAACAAATGTGACCATGTCACTTTGCAGTCAGGTACATTGAATTGGTATTTTGGATTTAGGTCCAGTTAATGATTAACAAAAAGAACTAACATCGCTATTGATTAAAGGGGCTCTTTTTTTCTAAATCACCATTGGTCTTTCCCATTCTCAGGAAGGCCTTGATGGAATTCCTGCAAATTTGAATTTGTATGTTTATACATTAGACAGGAGTCTTTCTCTCTGACATATAATTCGAATATGTAGTGCAAATTCATAGGCTTTTGAATAAACTGTCATTGTATTTCTGACTAATGTGGCATGTTTAGGGTTTTCAGTGAGGACTTTGACTCTAGTAGGTCCACCCCCTTTTTTGAGCAACAATGCAAAAAAAAAGTACTCATTCCAGCTAAAGTAATGGACTGAACATACATGATGGTAAAGTGAATATCTTAGGGGTTTGTTGGTCGGACAAAACGAGAGCATCCTTCAGCTTTAGAAAATAACAGCAGGTGTTTTCAGTATTTTCTACATTTTATCAGACGCAACATATGATTGATGAATGGAAAACATGTTTAAATTCTTCAAAGTGTATGTGACACAGTTTTCATGTTTGGACATTGAAACTCTTATGATCCTCAACAACAGCTGATGTTATTTTTTGCTCTTGCCGGCCTGATGAAATATAACCCTCTGTGTGAAATGTATGTGGGAGCTGGTGGTGTGGAAGGTGCCATGTCCTGGTCACAGCATTCCCTCCTCTCTACCGGTCACTCAGCAAGAGAGTTCCTGTGGGCAGAGTGAGAGAGCATCACACTCTGCCCACACATTCGTCCTCTAAAACCACAGATATCTTCATATAAAAAATAAAAAAAATCAGACAGTGAGGCCACGGCTGTTTGAAAATATAGTTTTATTTTTTCAAAACCAGTGTTATAATTGATGATAACCAATTGAGACTCATTACTATGTCTAAAAGTATCCTGGATTGGCAACCATGGATGGTACCCCAGCGACTTGAATGCTTGCTTACTCCCCTGATACCGAGGCTGAATAGTTAATGCTCCAAATGCTAGAAAATGTGTGACACCGACAGTAAAATATACAGTCTTGTTTGTTCTGTAAAATCTGATGTCAGTATTCTTGTGTGCTGTTGATATTATTTAGAATAGTTCTCCCTCCAGATTCTAGGCAGGAACAATTCATCTCCTGTGCTTCTATACATTTCTCGTTGGAGAAAGTCATACATTATTCATAATAAGGCTGAATCTTGGTGTATTATTCATAAGCATCTATCAAGGTAGATTATTTTAAGACACCACAATACTCTCCATTTTAAGTTTGGTATTTAATGGAGGAAGGAACAGAAAAATCACATTGGCTTCATGCTTAGTCTAGGAATTGCACAATAAAATACCAGAAACAAACCAAAACAACACTTTCATTACTTTGGGTAGAAAAAGATATAGTGTATGAATAATATTAAAACGAGAAGATAACTGAAAAGAAAGAGTTTATTTCTTTTATCCAGCTTCAGATCATTTGGTAATCCATGTAAAAAAGCATTCAAAGTCTTTTTGTGAGCATTACTATATTATTAATATTGTGCAATGATGTGTAAGCATCATGTTACTTAAGTAACTTAAAGTAGTTGCTACTAGTTTTGTCGGTTCCTCCCAACCTTTGGATTGATTCACTTTTTTTAGAATATAGGACCAGATGGTGAATATCCCTTGTATGTTTGAAGGTTTTCTGCACAATTTAAGTTACCAACTACCAGTAGATCTTAGCAGGTGTTTGTGGGCACCAGTGGGTGTTAGGGACATAATGTCCCAACTGTTCCCTTTTTCTTTCAAGGATACAACTATAGGTGTGCATTGATGGCCTCCCATTTTGCTTTTTCTGAAGCTCCAGACCAGTTCACCTTTGATTTGGTTTGTAAAGGTTTCTTCACCATAGTTGGTTTTCTTGGCTGAGTGGGCAATATACTTTCTTCTGCAACCACCTCTGTGCTTGAGTTAACTTCCACAGATAGAGGGGGGCCGATGTCCTGCAAACTTTTGGACAAGTCCAGTCACTGGACTTTCCCTGACAGACTTGATAGACTTCTCACAAAGCACTGATCAATGCTTTTCCATTCCAGGGTCATTAGCCGTGTGCTCTGTTAGAGAGTCGTTTCCCCCCCCCCATTCTTGCCAACTCGGGGGGTATTTTTGCTTTAATTGCTTTCGTAGCCATTAGTGGTTGTCTCGATGTTGTCAGTTTATTTCATGTGGAGTCGATCTCTCCATGGACACGGAAGCGGTAAAGACATGTATATTCAGCTTGTCCCCAGTTACTGAGGACATGCATCTCCAAAGAATGGTAGAGGTCATCAGTAGGGTTCTGGTGTCAGGGCACAGGGAAAAAGAGGAGAATGGAGGGAAACAAGAAAGACAGATATTCAAATTTAGAGTGGGATACAGAAATAGAATCATCAGATGTAAACACTACTGCGTTCTAACATTCAAGAGCAAGCCATGTACTAGGTTCAGGCCTAGAAGCTAGGTCACGTTCTACCTTTTTCTAAATATCATGGTTTCATTGTCTGTTTAGATTTGATTATTTTAACTTACAGGCAGCTGAAACGTCTGCGTTGACTCGCCATTGTCTTTGTAGGTGAATGCTCCAAGAAGAGTTAAGTTGTCTAAGGTGTCTTTCATTCCCTGGGAGAGAAATTATACATTAGAGTGGCGACTATTATATGTGACTCACTTTTTTCTCTAAGGTTTAAGCACAGAGTGATAGGACCTCTGCAGTGCCTCATATAATGGGTGATAACTAACAGTATTGAGAGCACTCACATAGACTTTAAAGTCTTTGGGCGCAGAGTTGATCTTGCCAGTGGGTGAGTTGCAACGTGGCAAGTGGTCCACTGTCACATGCTTGATCCTCACAGGGTGAGAGAGAGAGATGGCAAGAGTTCCCTGGGCACCAGGGAATGCCCAACAGTTCCCTGCGTGCAGTGGTGTGTGACCCTGGGGATAGAGGTGATGCAATTAGGAAATAATATTTCCTCACATGAAACTAATTGTCACCGACTTGCAGTGAACAATACCCAACCCCACAGATGATACAAAGAAAACAGGGAGGAAGGTGATCATTCATTATACCTCAATAACAGTCAGTGGGCTCCTACTACCATGATATGACTTTGAAGACCTGGAAGCTATCACCCTGGCACCTACAAACAGAAACAAGAAAATGGGTAATTTGTATGAATGCTGAGTCATCATTCTCCAAGAATGGTACAAGAATGGTCATACTGAGCTAATAGAAGTGGTGATTATAACTGATTTGTGATGGTAATGACTTAATCTCTAATGCAGTATCATTCACTTAAGACAAGTAACAGTGAGATGGAGATATTCCTGACCTTGAGTCTTGAGGGCAAAGTCAGCCATTTTGTCAGCCATAGGAGGTCTACTTCCTTTTTCATCAAACCTGAATACATCATGCTCCTAATAGACATTCACATAGTACATAATTATTTCTTATTGACATTTGTTAAAATGCAGACACATCTAGACACCATAAGTAGTCTTGGAGATGATCTAGAGTATCTCTCCACCTACCTTGATGTAGTGACTGAGCCACTTCTCCATGGCCTGTTGGAGCTCTGGGGTTAGAGGGTCATTGACAGGAGCTAAAGGAGACAACTGATAAAGCAAAAAGGAAGATGAAGTCACATTTCACTCACACCATCTCAAGGAAACACGACAGCAGGTTTGAAGTGAACTAGAACTAAAGATTAGGGCATGTGTGTGTCAGACATCTCTAACAGTAGTGTTACCTCTTCATTCTTAATCTCCACAGCTTCCAGTCATCTAACATATTTAATCATATCATATTTAACTTTAACCAAAGACCTTTTGGAAATTAAATATTTTGGTGTAACAAGTTGCAGAATTGTTCAGTACTGACAGTGGTGTGCACTTGTCAAAATATACAGAAGATACAGGGATTATGTTTCACTAAGAATATTTGTATAAGTTTGTAAATGCACTTTCATTGTTTTGAGTCTGTCAAAGTCTCATGTCTGGATTAGGGACTACTCTACTAGAGCCCTACCATATTGTTCAAGAATATACGAAAAAGTTAAGGACAGGGGATCTGCAGTTGAGTCCTACCTCCACAGCAGCATGAGGAATGGTGTTGGGTTGAAGAGTCATGTCAGGAATAAGAGGTCGACTCTCTGTCTGTTTGAAACTTGTGTTGGAGACGAAAGGGGTCAACAAGGGAAAGAGTAACCAAACACCTGGAGAAAACAGGAGGCACAGTTCTTAGAACTCCAAAGATCTGAGAGAACATTGAGTAGTCTACTCAATGTGAAAATTTGCCAAATGCCCTACAAATTTGAATCTTGTAAAATGTCAATGTCACTTACATAGAAATATGAGGACGAGGAGGAGAAGCAGACCACAAGCCTTCTTTGTTTGACTGCTGACTGAATTGTTAACTGTAAGGACAAGAAAAAAAAGTGGATTTTATGTTTTAAACATCTAGGGCCAAGTCATGCAGTGATTGTGAAAACACAAATCTATGTCAAGTAAAAGTTGTTTATGTAAACATGTGGCAATGTGAGCACACCCCACACAAATCTACTTACAGGTCCAGTATCTAAGATTTAGGTGAAAGGGATCTATTTACAGAAAGTGAATATAAAATAATCCCAGCAATGTTTTTAGTAGTGTGTTTGATCTAAACTGTACAAATTGTTTTCACTGTTTTTCTTTACCCTAAAATGGGCCGTTTATAGTTAAACTTTATATTTACTCGGTAGAGTGGGTCCTCTCTACGGAGGCTGCTATGTTTTGTACAGTAGTCCAGACTGGACAAACTAAACACCTTTTGAGTTTTTATCACAACTGAAGGCTACCACAGGTTCTCTTTCATGTTTGGAAGGGAAGGGTGAGGTGAGGGGTATTCAGCTGCAACATGCAACTTCACTTCTAGATGTCAAAAATATGTACACACCAAACCTTTAACAATGCCATTAAAACAAGCATGAGCTTGAAGCACACATCAAGTTAACCCAAAGCCAAACTTAAACATATGCACCGTCAACTTACCAAATGCTCCCAGATGCATTATCCTTGACTTAACTGTGGCAGCCATCAATAAGAGTGAGACTGCAAAAAAAATATCAGATTATGATGTCATAATATATTGTATCGTGTTATATTATATTATATCGAATAAGTTTGATACAAACCCATCAGAGAAAAGTAGGCACTGCTGATTTTGCTCATGTATCCAGAACTTTGAGCTGAACTCATTATGCTGGGACTGTTGGTAATCCTGCTAGAGCAGGTATTGACGATAGGTGGCCTGATGGTTGGCCTGATGGGCTTGCCCTCAGCCCACAAGTACCTTGAGTTCAATTGCATGGTGTCATATGATACCAATGCAGGAGGATTGACTTGATAGACAGAGAAAAACTTGTTAAACAATTATTTTTTTTTGTGTGACTTTCTTCATGTGAATAACAAGATACATTTACCTCTTCAATTATATTAATTACAAAAAAAGTACAAAGAAAATCTGGTTGAACTATATACTAGACTGAACTAGACAATACTTTGTTGGAAATTGTCCCTTTTTAAATCTAGAAAATAACTACAATGAACACTATGCACTATGCAATTTATCTTACCATTAGACTGGGCTGCAGGTATGGGTGGCTCATAGCTGATTGGTTTAGTAGCACAATCGGCCTTAGGGGACTTTTTGGAGCGGTTCCCTTCCCTCTTCTTGAAAACCCTTTCCAAATTGAACACACACACGCACAGTTGAAGAAATTGGCATTAGAGAATAGACAAATTATTGTTTAATGTTAGTCTGCAAATCAGACTTGCTAAATTCAAGCTTGAGACACATGCATAGTGTTACGTACTTGACAGGCTTCTCATGGTAGGATACATTTGCCAGACAACTTAAGTTTGATATGTCATCTCTTTCGTAGTAGCCACTGGCTAAAAGGCGGGCACTCTGACGAGCCATGACTGAAAGAAGGAAAGAAACAAGATATGACTTATCACCAAGTTTTACACACCCTTTTAAACCAACCCCAGTCAATAGCAAACTTTAAACTATTTCATCCATAATGAAAATGCATCTTCTGATGAAAATGCAGAGTGAATGAATACTGACCTGCTGACTATGCTTTGCTGAATCAAGTGCGCTATAAATATGTAGCTGATGAAGCTGGAAACTTGTAATAGTCCTTCAGAAAACTTGCTTAAAATTCGCTTTGAATACTAAACCTGTAGAAATACTCTGCTGCATAAACTTATGATGATCCTTGATTAAACTTGCTTAAGTTTGCTTTGAATAATAAGCTGTGGAAATGTTTTTCTATAAAGGCAATAAAGTCATCATAGAAATGTGATGATAGCACACTGCCAAGATCAAAGGGATGTGATGTCACTGAACCCCTATAAATGTCCTGAACAAGGTGAGTGTTTGAATGGTCCTTTTGATGTTTTAGTCCGTTGAATGGTTGATCAGCATTCACAACAAATTCCAATTAATGTTAGCTGTGTTAACCTCAAAACAGCACATCTTCTCTTTGGTACACTCTTGCAAATTGCAAATACATTTCTTCTTCAAGTATCTAGTCAAACTTGCCACAGAACTCTGGACTCAGGCCTTCTCACTGTCTTCTGTGTCTGCATGTAATCCCACACTGTTTCCATGGTGTTGATATTGGGGCTATGTTGGCCCATTAACATTTGTTGCAGTACTGTTTTTCTTGTCACTGCAGTTGGCTCTTGTTGGTGTATATTTGGGCTCATTGTCCAGCTGCAATGAATGATGGACCAGTCACATGGATGGTATCTAAACATCTGAAATACCTAAAACTTTTGCACTGCAGTGTGTATAGTATATTATGTTTAGCTCATGAAGTAAAATGTTCTCAATTACAGTATTTTAATTGGATATTAGTTTAGTTAGGGTAATATGTGCATTAGGATGCTGAGGATTCTCTGCCAGTCAGTGGAGAACATTGTTGTATTTCTTATGGAAGTTTTCTCATTTACCTTGTGTTGCTGAGTCAAATTAAATTTTCCAACAATCAATAAAGGCACATCTTATATTATCATGTGTTTACCTCTGCCAAGAAGGTTATGTTTTTGTCTGCAGGTGTTTATTTAGCAGGATTACACAAAAAGTACAAAAATTTTGTGGAAGGGCGGAAGGGTGGGACGTGGCCTCTGCTGCAGTGGAGGTGCATGCATAAGCGAATGAACTTCACTCTCACAACCAATGAGTGAACAGATCTAATGTGAGAGATAATTGCATTGCATACCACTTGCAGGTACAGACACTACAGCAGCTGAAACCAATGAGGTCTGACTGTCTGCGTGGACAGTGAAAACTTGTCTTTACAATTTTAATCTGCACACCAAACCAGCTTTATAATCAGTATCACTCACTTTTAATATAATATATATTATCAATATTTCTCTTCTGCAGATGAAACACGTGGCATTCATGTAGATCCTGTTGTTGTGAATAATGGAGTTCCTGGTTAAATAAATTAATACATATAAGCACAATGATGCTTGCACTTCATATATTTCTGTAAATTGTCATATTAGTCACATATTCAATACCATTTATTCTCCACTAGAGAGCACAGTTTGCTCAGAGAGCAAAAAAATCCCTAAACCTTAAACATTTCCACACCACCATTTTTCACCTTTGCTTACCCCACACTAGGTCTTTCATATTTTCTGTTTCTTTTTTCCTTTTTGATTCACTGCACCTATTGAAGTACATAAAATTATTATTTTTAAGAATTTAAGAAAAATATATAACTATATAAGTTTGCTTTTGTTGTTCCCCACCTTCAGTTGTGCTCTTGTGAATTGGAAAACATTTGAGAGGAAAAAATACGTCCACACCCATGCTGCTTATAAGAGTGAAGCATAAAGGATTCATCAATCAATTAATCATAAAGATAATTACTACAACAATTTCGATTGATTATTTCATTAAGTATATTTTCCCAAGCAAATATATCAAATATTTGTTGGTTCCAGCTTCCTTGATTTCTCGCTGGACTCCATTTACACCAGACATTAAAATGCATTTAGTATCCAGACTAAGTATTTTTTCAATTAATTGTAAATAATATTAAAACATGTCAACCACATTTTGCATGATGTGACCATAATAACTTTAACCTATTAATATCTTGTATTGTTTGATCAAAAATCCAATAACCCGATGATGCTGAGTTGTCAATGCTGTGACTAAGAAAAACATCCTCACAGCAGAAACCACAGAATGTTTGCCTTTTTTTTCTTCACAATTTTTACTTTAAAAATGAAACAAACTTAATTAACACAATAGATGATCACAAAGGCAAGTGAGGGACAGGGATTAGTCCAAGTTTCCACGTTTTTAAGAAGGGCTTCAAATATAAAATATATTTGAAATCCAACAGCTGTTATTTTGGCCATGCAATTTGGGAACATGTGGAGAAAACGTAGCCTACATATTGTTGACGTAGCAAACTTGTTAGCAAAGATTGAGAGTACAGGGGGTTCCCTTTCTACTAAAATAGGTTCCTTTTGTTAATGAAATAATGCATTGAGTGCAGTAATAGCAAACCACTGAACAAAACATTTGCAGGTTGCAGTCAGTTAGCTCAATCTTTGTATAGGCTGAATTTTCGTAATTTGGGACATTGGGTAATGTAAGACACCTAAAGCTTCAGTCTGTTTATTTCCTGGTCTAACAAAATCTATGCAACAGGACTATTACTATAGTTTAACATGGGGATGGTGTCACAGAAAGGGGCAGGACAGATGTCAATCGGAGGCCTCCCCTTGGAATTGCGTGACAAGGTTAATCTGACAAGATTAATGTTAAGAATATAAATCCATAATAAATTAGACAATGTTCCTAATTCTTATCAAATAATGTTTGTGATGTATTCAAGCAACATATTATGCATTGAGTTGTTGAAAATGTGTGTTAGTTTCCCCACTTTATCAAACATGATTGATAATGTGGGACAGCATGCTTTTGGTAATCTTGATCATTTAAATTCTCTAAATGGGGAAATATGCATTAAGGGACTTCCTGAAATTAAGATAATAAACTAGTAAAGTGATGTAGCATATGGTCCACAGTTGTCAGACAGGCGATTATAGTAAATACAGTATGCCCCTGTCAGACTCTGTCTTCTGGTTGGCTAACTACTCCATAATCAGTTAGGTCTCTAGGACAGAGATGATCTACAAAGCACAGAGAAGTGTCCTGTCGTCTGCAGCCATTGGTTTCCACGAAACATGTGGAAGAGACAATGGGCTGATCGATGACGATTTGTCTTTCACCTGCAAGGACTGTTTGTTTCCAAGAGTAGCCCCAGTAGAATTACTGAATCATTTAACAGTTGTTATTTTTTGTTATTTTTTTTTGCTGTTGTTTGAATTTTAATTGATTAAAAAAAATGTATCATCCACCTTTGATAGAATGTTTAAAATTAACTGTACAGTTTAATTATTTAGTTAATTATTATCAATAGGGTCCTGAAAGAAAGAAAATATATTTTTACATGTTAATATGAATTAATGACATTTTTTATGAATAACATATTTTTCTTATATATTTTCTTATTCAGCCTACTTTTGCATAATGATTTTTAGAAATTGGTAATATTGAGTTCGGCATGCATCAAGCAAGGCCTTACACAAGTGTCCCAGATTACAAATTATATGTCTCAGATTATCTAACTCAGGCACAATTTACTTTTTTGGCACCAAGAACTCTCAAAGCTGTCATGTCTCCTCTGAGTATGATATACTGTATGCATTCTTTCTTCTAGTGTGGCTTGAACACATTTTAGGGATTACAAAAAGTTATATTTTGTTGATCTACTGTTTAAATCAGAAAGAGTCACCAAAGTCAAAATTGCAAAAAAATATCCACATTAACCAAATTCACCCTAAATATCAGTAAAGACAGATTTGTTAACACATTAAAGTTTTGTCAGAGTTTATGCAATTTGACTATTTTGATGCACTGTCCTTTCATTAACCTATTTTGAACTAAAAATAAAAAAAAACAGAAAATAAAAGCGCTTCTGAGGACAGCAACATCCTCCTGTTTGGGATTGACCCTCTGAGATATTAAATCCAGTACAGGCCTCTGAGAGTAGCATGTCCATAAGCCACAAATCTCTTTAATACAACACCCATTAGGAAAGTGCTGAGCTCTTTACCAACAGCTAAGATGGTCCATTGCTCAGCAACACCATTGCCTATACTCTACATTCAATACAGTACATCAGCAGTAAATCAATCACTTAGCATAATTTAATGTATAAGACCAGCTCATATTTTAAGATGATTTGATGACCAACCTGGGACTATACACACTACAGTGTCTAAAATGTTTGTTTCACAGAATGTTTCACAAAATATTTTCAGAATTAGAGTAAAACCACATGACTTTGGGACAAATTTATTTTCAACATATGAATATACACTTTATGATATGGTTAGATATACAGTGTAAGAGTGTGGGGTGTCAAGTAATAAATACAAGTTTTGCTTTATTCAGGGTTGGAGGTTTGAGATAGTGCCAGCAATATAAAAACAGTGCACAGTTGACCTGTCCACCAGCCAGCTAAAAAGATACTTAGATACTAAAATTACTAAAAGAAAAACTATGAATCATTGCATGTTTTTTTGGACCTGCAGGAAACTAGAACAAACATGTTGACACATCTGAACACTGCACAAAAACAGTTGCCTTTAATGGTAGCTTTTAAATTCAGAGTGTAAGATAGATATCTTTAAAGAAGCATAATGAAGCATGTTGTAGTCATATTTTAAAACAAGTTGTTGGGCAGCTCCATCATAGAGCAGGTGAACAGGTGTAACCTTAATATCTTGATGAGTGGTCAGTTATGTTTGCATAGGTGGCTGGATTAGATATTAACTGTGGCCTAAATCACTTTGTGCTGACGGATTTGGAAAGTGATAATCCAAGGTGTGCCTTTTTAAAAGCCCGACTCGGGCCCCCTGGGTCCATTTGTAGCAAGGTCTCCCTCTTCATCACTATCCTACACAGCCAGAAGAAACACCACTGAAGGGCTGATCGCAACCGCAAGCCGCAACCATGAATGGAACGGAGGGACCATATTTTTATGTCCCTATGGTAAATACCACCGGCATTGTCAGGAGTCCTTATGAATACCCTCAGTACTACCTTGTCAGCCCAGCAGCTTATGCTGCCCTGGGTGCCTATATGTTTCTGCTCATCCTTGTTGGCTTTCCTGTCAACTTCCTGACTCTCTACGTTACCATCGAAAACAAGAAGCTGCGAACCCCTCTAAACTACATCCTTCTGAACCTTGCGGTGGCTAACCTCTTCATGGTGTTTGGAGGATTCACCACAACGATGTACACCTCTATGCATGGCTACTTCGTTCTGGGTCGTCTTGGCTGCAATCTCGAAGGATTCTTTGCTACACTTGGAGGTGAAATTGCCCTCTGGTCACTCGTTGTTCTGGCTGTTGAAAGGTGGATGGTTGTCTGCAAGCCCATCAGCAACTTCCGCTTTGGAGAAAATCATGCTATCATGGGTTTGGCCTTCACCTGGTTTGGAGCCAGTGCTTGCGCTGTACCCCCTCTTGTTGGCTGGTCTCGTTACATCCCTGAGGGCATGCAGTGCTCATGTGGAGTTGACTACTACACACGTGCAGAAGGTTTCAACAATGAATCCTTCGTTATCTACATGTTCGTCTGCCACTTCTGCATTCCACTGATTATTGTGTTTTTTTGCTATGGCCGCCTGCTCTGTGCTGTCAAGGAGGCTGCTGCTGCCCAGCAGGAGTCAGAGACCACCCAAAGGGCTGAGAGGGAAGTCACCCGCATGGTTGTGATCATGGTTATCGCTTTCCTGGTATGTTGGTGTCCCTATGCAGGTGTGGCCTGGTATATCTTCTCAAATCAGGGCTCTGAGTTCGGACCTCTCTTCATGACCATCCCCGCCTTCTTTGCCAAGAGTTCCTCCATCTACAACCCACTGATCTACATCTTCATGAACAAGCAGTTCCGTAACTGCATGATCACCACCTTGTGCTGTGGGAAGAATCCCTTTGAGGAGGAGGAGGGAGCATCCAGCACCAAGACCGAGGCCTCTTCTGCCTCCTCCAGCTCCGTGTCACCAGCATAAAAAGGGCCGTCTACAAAGGCTCTGTGATCCACCATCCAAGAAGAAGACTTCTGCTCCCCCCGGGAAACGACTGAAGGCTAATGTCTACAGAAATAACTTCCTTTTTGTATTTTTACGAACAAGTTGGTTCAACCTAAAGACAGTTGCAGGAAAGGTCAGCCCATTACAGAGTTGTTCCTGTATGTACAAAATATCCAACCTAACAATCTATAATTTTTTTTCCTGAGAGTAAAGGGGAAAAATGTTATCTTTAACAGTTGGATCCTATATCATATTGGCTTATTTTTGAATGTAGAGGCATGTAATCAAGGCAATGTAAAATAAATCGCACTTTGCAAATGACTCATTCTGTTTATGTTTTACTTACAATTTGGGTAGGAAAGTTCATATGACTGTAGTTTATTTAATCAAATGAATAAATATGAATGACCTTTTCAGAATGCATTTATATTTATTTCAATTTCTATTTTTGAGATATTGTAGGGACGACCGCCTTTCTACTTTCTACTCAGGCAGATACACACAGAATGGTACAAAAAACTTTGACAGTGTGAGACTCAGTCGTGGTACTGCATTGCTACTGTAATCCCATTTCAAACACAGGTCACCTTGGATTTAGAGCTCGGCCTATAGCAATGAGATTATGACATTGTTAGTCAGGGGTGAATAATACATATGACTCAACATCCAACTTTGTCTCATGACAAATATTAATCACATTATTTAAAGGTTAACACGGACATAAGACTTACTGGATAAAACCAATCTCTATCACCAAGGTGATGCAAAGCTTACAGAATCGAAACAGTCATCGCCTGCATTAATTTCCTCTAAAGGCATTGTGATAAGTTGTACCAGTATGCGACAGAAATTACAACATGATTTCTCCTCCTCAGGTGTCAGCTGTTTAGTATTCCAGACTGAAAGTAAAACAAATACTCAAGATCTCTCCCATAATGACCTTCATTTGTAGCTATAGCAACCGTCATACTACTGGATCTTTAGAGGAATAAAGATATGCTTTCAGAGCAGTCTGATGTCAGACTCCAGCTGCTGCTGCTTTAATTAAGCTCTAAAAGGTTTCATGAATTAAATACAATTTAGCTTTTTGTAATCAAATGATAAAATAGAAGATCATAAGAATCCAATAGAATAAATACAGTTTTTTACAGGGTTTAATGACTTAATGGTTTACGGGTTTCATGAATTTTGTTTTTCAATATATTGGACTGTAGTATCATTGGAGGTGACAAAGTCTCATTGCACCACTATAGTAACTTTCTAGGTATCATAGCTTGTACAACTATACCTCACCATTATGTGCTGTTCAAATAAGATGAAATACGCTATCAATGTAGATGAGGGAGGCAGCACAGCTGGCAGCCCATATACCAGCTTACCATCACTTCAAAATGCAGTACATTTTCCTTCAGTCTTCAATAAAACAGTCAAAAGCTGTGTTTTAAAATGTAGTGTGACCACAACTGACACATAAAAGCCATTTGATCTGAGTGAACGAAGTCTTCTAAAGCATAACTAAAAAAACATCTCTGCAGAAATATGAAATCCTTTTGAATTTGTATGGAAAACTTTATTTGATAATAAAAATAGCATTCACAGACTTCTTTTGATAGCTACATATACATTGTAATCCATCTCGGGGAAAGAAGCTGGAAAAGTCCACATCTACTTGTACTTAGACTAATGTTATGTATAGCTTCATGGGTCAAATAAAGCTATGAACAATGTAGTATCTATACTGTATATGCATAGTTTTATAAAAAAAAAAAAAAAAAAGATTGGCCCATATACATGTACTGCTTTTATCAACACAGAGACAGCATTAAGTCTGGAGCACATTGCAAGAAATAATGCTTGAAGAACACAGACTGCATACAAGTGCTTTATAATACAAAGGCAGGCTAACCATCGAGAGAGATTCAAACCATCAAACAGTTTCTGATTGACCAAAGACAGGTTTTCATTTTAAAATGTCTTTACATACCTGATCCAGAGTAAATCAACACATTTCCCATAAATCATCAGGTCCGTTTCAGAGATATAAACACAATATCACATCCCTCACTGCTGAGGTTTTTCATAAATTTCTCTTTTGTACAAGAAAAAGGCAACATTTTATTTTATTTACGGGTTCCTAATAGTTACATTGGAAAATTCTTTACTGTTGATAGTTATGTTGATTTATTTCTTTTTTTATTGTGTGTATTTTTTGTTGAATACAGTACCATGGCAACAACAGTGATCAAACAATTCATTTGTTGTGGTTTATCCAATATATTTTCAGTTCTTTAATGAAACATAAAACAGAGAATACACACAAAACACATTATAAAGCAGCAGTTCGACTCCAGTGGCGAGACAGCATGGCTCAGCATGGCAGATTGGTCGCCTCCTGTACCAGGACTCTCCATATGTTACCAACACAACAAAATACATCAGCTCTTTGTGTCAGGACCCAGGAGGTGGTCGGTGCACAAATCATCAACACAAGGACAGGGCTAACAATTACTGTAGGATTACAGTGCATGTTCCTTATCGATTATTCTCACTTAGACTTATCAAATAAAGTGGTTAAACTACACTTTGATTTACACATGCAGCTTGCACAGGGATAATTTACACATTGGTTTGTTTTAAAACCTCTGCACACCCACAGATTTGTTTTAAATTACTCTGGTTGAAAATGGATTGAACTACGGTGGACATTTATGATGTCACAACAATTGGCAATTGGAAATGACCATAACACGCCATCAAGTCACCCCGCCCAAACGGTTGCTACAAAATTAACAGGAGGGTGGAGCTGTCAGTCAAACCAACATGTTTCTGAGAAGAGATCTAATCAGAAAATACCTGTGTGGGTGGGTTATAGGTGTGCAGAGGTTTTAAACCTTTTACTTTTTTTGGCATATTTGAATAATAATATTTTATGGCAGCTTCAGGCTGGCGTTGTGGCATAATGCAGACTCATCTAAAGTACTTCATTGAAAGTAAGATGAGCTACAAATTTAGATAATTCTCATTTTCCCACAATGGAGAATCTACCAGAGCAGTTTTGCCTGTAGCTGAAAGTGAGTCAGGTTCCATCTTTACACACCAAAGAACAAAGAACAAAGAACCAGAATATTTGAGTTGTTTTTATAATCCTACTCCATGCCAGTAATTCATTTTCACATCAGTTGTCTGATTTACTTCTCTAATTTCAGAAGTGTGTGGGTGTATTTTTGGCAGACCTGCCACACATTTCATGGGTGCAACACAAGTAAAGGTACAGCATGCTTTCCCAGGTACAGTGTATACTTCTACCTTGATCCTTACAGGTTTAATGAAAGATGCTCAAGATATGTGCCAAATTAAAAATAAATAGTGAGCAAAAAGTCATATATTATTTCTATAATTATCACTTAGTTTCCTCATCAGATCTTAAATTTTGATATTTGCCTCCAAGTCCCAACTTGATTTTCAGTTCTTGTGAACCATTAGTGTCTTGTGCTATAGTTTGTTCAGTAAAGTTATTCAGGAATGGAAAAAAATATCTACAAAACAAGTTTAAAACAAGTTAAGTAGTTAGAAGTTACCACGACTGGAAGCATGTTTCATACCTTCGAGGGAACAAATATTTAGATTCAGCAATGCCTACAAAAAGCAATATCACTGATTTCATATGCAGGCACATACAATACCTTTACTATAGTACAACAACTTCTGTTATGTTCAAAATAACTATAACAATGACAAAACAACCAGTATGAACTGAGAGAAGGATTGTACTCCTGCTGTTTTATGAATCTCTGGATGGGATCACAAGTAGAAAAGTCAGTCAAATTAATCAATACATCAGTCGACCGAAATAAAGCACAAGAGTTAGTATCCTCAGAAGTACAATTCCAGTGTATGGTACATAATTTGCACAGACAGAGGAGAGAGTGGCGAGGGGGATCTCTGCTCTGCTCTAGATGCTGAGGTCTTTGGAGCTTTCTTTGTACAGCCTTCTCTTGGGCTCAGGGAGCTGGTTTGGGCTGTGGCCTACTGCGTTATTGTTATGGCCTGTGTTGTTGTAGGCAGCATTGTTGTGTGGAGTGTTGTTCTTCATCATGCTGTAGTAGTCCTTCAGTCTAGGTGCTGCTGCATAGTTCAGCTCATCCCTGCTGTAGGTGCTGTCAGGGGAAGAGTCCCGCTCCATCCGGTATCGTCTCTCTGGTGTCCCATTCATCTGACATGTCTCCTCCATCCTCTCAGAGGAAGAGTCCCTCAAGAGGTTGCCATTCTTTGTGGTTCTTTCGTGTGTGTGACCCCTGGAAAGAGACAAGGAATCCCCGTAGTTGTTGGTGCGCTCGGGTGTTGTGGCCTCCCTGACTCGCCCAGCCATATGTGAGTCCTTGAGGAGCCTCCGCTCATATAACTTGCGTTCAGGAGTGACTGCGAGGAACCCTCCGTCATCGTTATCCCTCTCAGGTGTACGGTCCCGATGTGCTCGCTCGGCCCTGCGGTCCATCGACTTGGCCCGCCGACGATCAGGAGACGAGGTGCGCTTTTCGGTTGGTGAGCGGTCAAGGGAGCCGCGGCGCTGCAGGCGAAACCTCCCATCCAAAGTAGAACTGCTGCTTGAGAGCTCTCGACCCCTCAGTTTTTCGGCAGCTGCAGCCTTCTTCCCAGAGCTGTCTTTCCTCAGAGTCTTAAGGAGTTTAGAGATGCCGCTCTCCGACTCTGACTTTTTGACTTTTCGGCCTCGGCTCTTCTTGTTGCCACTTCTACTGCTGTTACTGTTGTCTGGAGACTGTTGTCTGGGGGTACTTTGACTGTGATTGTTATTCCAGGTGTGATGATGGTGGGGTTTAAATTCCCGGCCTTGGTAGTCCATCTGATCTGACCCGGCCCTGTCCCTGTTCCTGTTCCTGTCCCTGTCTCGCGCAGCCTCCTCCTGGCGTGATGGTTTGTGAAGGTCTGGTGGATAACTGGACTCCAATGAGGTGTGATATCGGCTGTTCGGTGGCAGAGTTCTCACTTCCGGAGTGTTTTGTGCCCCGGGTGTGGAAGGGTGCCCGTCACTGCTGCCGTCTGCAGGAGAGGAAAAAGGAGGAGAATCTTGTTGACTAGAAAAACCTTACATGAGGATTGTGGTTGCAGAAAACCAATAATAACATGAGGTCTATTGTGTACAGCAGACGTGACTTTCATTTTGATTCAGATGAGCTCTTGCATTAACATCACAGCAGGTCAATGCAGAGATTTATGGAAATCATGCACTCGTGCTCTTTCATAATATCTCCAGAAACAAATAAAAATGTGTGTATAATATTCTGTTATACATCATCAGTACACTTGAATTGCATTGAAGTGATAATCACTTCAATATATTGTCTCTACAGGGCTGCAGGTTGAAACACAAGGTGATGTCAGCAACAACAACAGGTGCAACACATTGGCAAGTATAGGGCAGGGTATATCAGTGACACAGCAGGCACCTGGGAAATCATTCAAGATAACATGGTAAACAACTCAATGTGCATCATTGGGAAGAACAAACCAAAAGTTAAAAAAAACAAAAAAAACAGGTGTTTGACACAGTGCTATGACTGCAGCATGTGACAAGCAGAGGCGTTAAATTAGTCCCTTCGAAAATATTTGGACTGACACTGGCATAAGGGAGAGGATTTGCTCATGTATGGATCCACAAAAGTTACTTCAGTTCAATTCAGGCATAGCAAGACGTAAAGCATGTACACAACGTAAACACGCCCAAGCGCAAACACACAAAGTGGGATGCAGGTAGGGATGAACTGGAAGGAAGGGTGGGTAAAACTGAAAGGAAGAAAAAAAGATGATAGTGAGAGGGAGGGGACTGGGACAGACTTTTGGCTACAAACCGTGGTCTGATTTTGGCCCATTAGGTAGAAACAGGGCTCTCCCATCTTGTCATTCCTCATTGTACCAACAGCGAGATGAGGAGCCATCATCGCTGGAGAGAGGAGGAAGAGCCCAGCAACAAGAAGAGAATCAGTGAGAAAAGAGGAAGAGAGGAAAAGACAAATAAAACAGACAAGAGGCCGATTTACAGTGCAGCTTAATCCAGAGAAGGTGTTTGTTTTGAAAGACAAGAGAACATTCACTTGATATAATATCAAAAAAAAATCTCAGAGGGATTTCAGTGTCAAATTAAACCGCACATAAGCCAGATAATATTTTTAAAATGTGAGCGTAAACTCAAACTTTGAGCGTAATAATCTATCTTTTAAACATACAAATCCTAAAGAGTATAAATCAATGGCTGAGCTTTTGTGACGACCATTTCTTCTTGTGCTGAAACCGAGGAAGGCAGCTGACTTCAATTAATGTGCCAAAGTAGCTGTGTGTTAAATATTTATTATTTGCAGTTATAACATTTATGAAAATCAGGTAGAGGTTTCTCTGCAGTGCGCTAAGCAGATGAAAAGCTTTATACTAGTTCACAGTGTGAACAGAAGCAACAATAATAGGATTTCATTGCTGACATTAGCAGTTTATTTACAGGAAGCAGAGAAAATCATTTGCAAGGTGTTTACCTACCATATTCAGGTACAGATCCATCTCCCCGCTTGAGGACGAGCCGCGCCCTCCGACCCCCATTCTTGATCAGTTCAATGGCACGTGAATGCTTCATGTTCTTTGTGCTCTCACCATTTATCTCCAGGATCTCATCTCCCACCTAAACCAAAGAGAGGCCCTGTTATTATCAAAGCCGGCTGGTAATATTTCACAACAGTGTACAAAGAAATGAACCTATACTGCCCCACAAAGGCAGACAGCAGTCACTACAGAAATGCTGAGTTTTTACATATTCAATATTGATTTAAAGTCTGCCAAGATCTATAGAGGAGATGAATTTAAGAAAAAGTGTCCTTGTGGTCACAAACTGTTTCATACCCTCATCTTGCCATTTCTGACAGCAGCCCCATCCTCGGCTAGTCTCAACACGTATAGGTCCATGCTGTACTCCCGTCCTCCTCTCAGGCTAAAGCCAAACCCTTTGCTGTCCCGCTCCAGGTCTACAGAATAGAACTCGGCATCCTGCAAGATCGAAAAGAAGAGATGCAGAGAAAGTCGCAGAGAGTGACGAGAGAGGAGGATCGACTAATCCGTGGTGCAGTGGAGTCGAAGGGTGAGTCAAAGACGTCAGGACTAATCAAGCCATGTCCCACAAAAATTCACAAAATGTCAATGGCAGTACAATACCTAAGAATGCATGAATAATTAATGCCACAAGAGACAGTGAGCAGGGTATAGATCACTAAGGGTAACACAAGGGCTGGACCAAAACTCACCACACTCATCAAATGTTCTCTCCCAAGAGAAACATGGTCTCCCCCAAAATTGTTTTCTCTGGGTCTTACAGTAGCAAAGCTTTACTCAGCATTAAACCACTCACTCATTTGAATGAAAGATTTTACTGATACTGAAGACATTTTAAGATCAGTGAAAGAGGTCAATTGAGGAATGAGAAAAACCATGCTATTATTGTGTTCTTATAGGAACAGTGACTTCATAGGTTATTTTTGTGGGAGAGATCTATATGTACACAACAGAAATACATGTTTGGGATATGACACCTCAACTTAGACAAAGAATTTATCTAAAATACTAATGTGTTTGTAATAAGAATAATTGTACATAAAATGGACTTTGTGCAAACATAACAAGTTGAAGTAATTCAAATATTCCACCCTATAAAACATTCATGTTTGCTATTTTTGTCTCTCTGGTGGACATATAGCAACATGTTTTATGCACATTGTGATGGAAGTGTGTTTCTTCTTACATTCCCTAAACTAGCACGACACTCAGAGAGCACATATCTCCACCGATTCCCAACAGTTCCCTTATGATACCACATTTAAATTCACTGGATCCATATTTTTTTATTTGGATCTGCACCAATTTCACACACTCATTAATATCAGTCCCCTAAACAGGCCTGATCTTTCATCAAGACCCATCAATTTTTTTCTGAGTAATCAACAAAGATGTTGAAAAATGCCTAATTTCACAATGTCAAAGAAAATTAAAAATCCACGAAAGAGTTGTTTCTTGAGTCATGCCCCAGCCCTCAACAACATTTCAGCGAAATCTGTTGAGCGGTTTTTGCGTAATCTGACTAACAAAGAAACAAAAGCAGATGAAAACATGGAAACTACAACAATGAAGACTTAGTTTAGAATAAAGATCTGTGAAAGATTAGTCTGTTGTTTATTGCTTATTTCTCTTCTGCTAAATATTTGATTATCTCAGTTGTAAATATATTGCAATGCTGTCACACTTAATGGACATTTTCTTCGACGTGCTGGATGTATGTTATTGCAAGGAAGTGATTGTTGGTATGTCCAATAACTTCTGGTCATAATTTAACCTCACTCTGTTGCTCAATTTTATCACATTCTTAACACAATTTTTTCTGCCACTATTCGTGTGAACAACTCTTCTGGGAGAGACTGACCACAAGCACGATTATCTGGTAACTGAAAAACGTTTTTGTGTCATGGTGTGTCCCTCTGCTTATTGCTTATTGTAGTCTGTTTAATGCACTGTTACTGACGTATTGATCAAAAACCCAGATGTTGAACTGTGGAGTGAAAATGTCTTTTCTTACCTGTGTCTGAGTTTGTGTGGGTGGAGGAGGAGGAGCTCCTTTTGACTTTGAGTTATTCCTATAAAAACAGAGATTTTAAGAATATATCCTTGACTGGGAGATGGATTTGTGCAAATTTAAGAAAAGACGATCACCTACCGTGACTCTGTAGACTGTTGGGGTGTGTGTGTGGTGGTGATGGTAGCTATCTTCTCAGCATTAGTCAGCAGAGAAGCATTGGAAGATTCTGAAAGGAAAAAAAGAAAAATATAAGATAAAGAAAGAAAAAAATAAAATGAAATGACTGCCTTTGTTGAATTCATTTGCCCGTAGCAGTGTTTTCGAAAACCTACTCAGAAAAAAAAAAACGTTACTGTCCAGAAGACTTGCTTGAACCACCCACAGGCTACTGTATTCAACCCGATTTTAACTGCCTGTGATGTTGTCATTTGCCATTTGCTCATGGACAACACTGGCTGCACTGCACAAACACACAAAAAAAACAGCAGTAAAGGAAAAAAATCAAACTCTCGACTTGCATCATTGTTTCATTTGCTATACCAGGATATGACAACTGTCTTGTCTTGCTGTTCTTTAATTCCATCTTCTCACCAGCGAGAACTCCACAGGACACATTTGTTTCCACTGACACAACTACAGCTCTGTTCCTGTTTAGCAGGAAATGTCAGCCTGACTCATTTGTCTGTGGCTTTTTACTCACTTTCTGCTCATTGGTAGAAAATTAACTTTTTTCTAAAGGCACTCATCTGTTGAAGCATATGAAATGAAAATAACTTGAACTAATACATGTCACCATTCCCATTTTATAAGGCCATACTTAGGGTCCCTTTCATTGTGCATTTGTATGCACAAGCCAGTGGGTTGGTGAACATGTGTGTGTGTGTGGGAGTTTGTTCCCACCTCTCTCACCTCCAGCCTTAATCAAGCTTTATTTTCTGCCTCTGTGGAGGATGTTGCTGCATCGCTCTGTCACTGGTTGACCAGTGGCTAAGCTCAGTTACAATACTTAACCTTATTTTACACCAAATTAGGAACTTTGTGTCACGAACTACAGAGGATTTAAAATCCCTGAATAAAAACAGAGATATTGTATTATCACAGCAATAAAAGTGAAATGTAATTAATTTAATGTCTGCTGCCTTTTAGTCATGTCCCAAAACTGTAATTAGACTATTGTAATTCTTTATCATTTTGGCACAGAAAGCTACTGTTGTCAGGTCTATGCTCTGCTCTCCTGGACAACACTGAAATACTGTTGTGATTTTATTTTTGAAAAGGTGGGGATGTCATGACAACAGAAAATTGACAGGATTCTCATTCCAAAATTAAATACCATATTCAAATGCTGGACATGTGCAGACGAGAGATACTGGATGGGGCAACAGATGAGAAACATAAACCATGAGCTGGACCAAAGATTAAGTAAAATACTAAGTAGGTACAGCCTAATCTTTCTTATGTTGCATGGTACAACTGAAGCCTTCTTATTAATTTTAGGTTTGACATCTAACTAGAAAACGTATAGGGTTTTAATGCTGCCATTGTCAACCTTTGGCACTTATGTGCTGTGGAAAAACAAATACTGTCAGAAATGAAAAGATTTTGAGCCTCAACTTTTCACCAAAGTATTGAACCTTGAGACATCACTCATCCAGGGTAAACCCCACTCTCACTCACTGGAAATGGCTCAATCTACCCCAGAGAAGTACAGCTGATGGATGCATAATGTGGATAATTATCAAGGATAAAAGCATGAATAACTGGCATTAAATTTTTAATAATGACAGTAAAAACAGACATTAAAAGGAACTACATTTGTTTTTTTTAGCCTTTTAAAAGCTTCTATAGGCACCTGCTTGTGCAGCTCTATTTCCTTTCCTAAACTAAGCTGAGGAGATTAACACCAACAGGAAGTGTTTGATTAAATGTGTGCAGTGCTTTTAATCCTTTCAGACTGGCAAAATATTGCAAATGTCAAAATATCCAGCAAAGAAAACAAAAACAAAAACCACAGAGAAAGGGCGAGAGAGGAGAAAGAGTTCTTGTGGAAGTGCTACATTAGTGTCTGGGGGCAACTTCATCTCACTCCTACTCAGTGACTCACTCTCTCAGGGTTCACACCCTGATGAAAAGTGCTCTTGCCTGTGAAGAGCAGCAGTGCCCTTTTCTTCCCACTGCAACCATGAATAAGTCACATCATGCTGCATTATGAAACAGCCATGTGAGGCTGGAAGCCAAAGCCTTACCATCACCGGGGATGATCCTGAGCGAGACTGTGTTTCCGGCTTCCTTGATCAGGTTCACGATGTCAGAGTGCGACTTGTTTGTGATGGAGCAGCAGTTGACAGCCAGTATTCGGTCCCCAACTTTCAGCTTCCCGCAGCGGTCCGCCGGGCTGCCCTCGATGATGCGTCCTATTTTGTGGGGCATGGCCACACAAGCATTTCCAGCTTTTGTTTTAACACATATGTTTGTTTACATGTGTCAGACATAAGGTGTGATGATGGTTTGACAGAAGGATTTGTGTGATTGTTTGATTTTATTTGATTAAAAGGAAAAGGACAAACAGAAAACAGAGAAGGGAAGAAGGAAGGTTAATTTCCAAATCACCAAATCTCAGTTCACCCATAGAAAAGCAATAAGTTGTGTGCACATCAAAAGTTTACATTCAGTACATATGATAAACACAACCTGACTCAGAGAGGAAGAAAAGCAGTATAATATCAATCAACATAGATGTCCTCTGCCCCCATCGTGTGACGTGTTAATCAATGGACTGGGAATCATATGCAACCACTCAAGGTCCTCTGAGGTTAACACTTGACGGCCTATCAATACTCTGGTCACTTCCTCCTGACTGTGCCCAAACACACACCTACCTGCCAGGGATCAGAGAACAAATAGCCGTTGCTGCAGTGTAAGATGTTAAAGAGACGAGATGTGAGTCATGTGGTCAATGCGAGCGCTACAAAACATACAATCTGCACCTGAATGACAGTGTTCAATACTACACGTCTTGTTTGCACAGTATCCCTGAAAATACCCTGGGGACCCGAGCTTCTCCTCGCCTTCCCTCCCTTTCACCCCCCCCACCCCCCACCCCCGCGTTCCTCCTCACTCTGCCCCGTCCATCTAGTACAGCAATAATTACAGTATGTCTCCGTCTTGATTGAAATAAATGCACTTGTATCCAGTCACTGCCTAAATGATGAGATATGAATCATTTACTGGGTGTGGCAAGTCACCACGATTTAGTACCAAAGATGCTAAACCCCACACCAACCCCAGGTCATTACAGGGAGGGATGAGAGGGGGATGGGCCCTGCTGGACTGGAGCAAATTGGTTTGTGTATCCACTGTGTGTGAGAGATTGAATCAGTAGAGAATGCTTTGTTTTTCACACAATTAAAAAAATATCTTTTGCTCCTGGAAGAATCCTCAGAGCTATGTATTTGTTTTGTTTTTTTCAATACACATTCCTCTGTCAGATTTCAGCTGTTGTCCTACATTTAAGCGAGTGAGTGCAGGATGCTACAACACAATCCCAGATCAGCTCATAAAAGCTGAAAGTCCATTCATCTTACTCTGCTCCGTCACTGTTCGTCACAGGAGGAGGGGAGCGCAGAGAGGCAGCAGCAAAAACAAAAACCTTAAAAGACCAGAAGACCTTTAGACGCGGTTGTTGACTAACACCGCCACTGGCGTCACTATGAATAATACATAAGTTCATGCATCGCATTTTGCAGAGCAACACCATTAGCCCATGGGATCAATGACATTTCACTGGGCAGTTAGCATTGCTAACATCTCATCAATTCTTGTGACATGCCACAGTGCATCATCCTAATGGCCAACTATAAGAGGGACCTTGACATGACATTGGTGTTGGAATTCATCACTCTGAGGTTAATACCAAATTTGTTCCAGAACAACATCTACAACTCCTCATCAGTGCCCGAGCAGCTTTAATGGATGTTATTCTGCTGTTTTCCGTGATGCATAAATGGTATAGACAGATATATTCGTTGCTGAGTAGACTCCAATTACGTGCTGAATGAATTGTTGCAGGCAGCTGTGAGGCATGAATCTGTGATGGTGGTGTTTGTGATAAAGCTGTAGCCAGCCTGATCCCAAGGGGCCGAGCTCAGCACATGAAGAGATTTCTTTATCCCTGAGCTTGTGACGGTAGGTGCTTGACCTCGATCTGTGGCGTACTCCTGTCAAACGTCACTCGCCTGCTATTCATAAAGTGGAGTAGAGTCAATGAGGAGTGACTGTAAAAATACTGACATTCTGCCAGGAGATGGCATCAGTCATTTAACTCAGAGGTGCGTTCATGATCTCGGTGGATTGAGTCTGAGGGTTTCTTTATTATTTTAGAATGTAGTACAAGATGGTAAATATCCCTTGCATGTTTGAAGGTTGCCAACCCCCAGCAGGTATCAGGGATCACCAGCAGATGTTAGAGACCACTGACAGATGTAAGGTACATCTTATCAGTTGTGAACCCTGGTGTCATTGGGTGTTTTCAGCCTTTCATTTTAACATATATATATATTATAGTAACTTAAGTTTGCTTGTAGATTAAATTGCTGTGATCGCTGGGTCTTGATAGGGAGATAACAAATCTTGAATTTAATTTAGAAAGGTCTTAAACATGTTCTGGTGCTTGTCTTATCTATGACAGTGATGTTTTTCTATCTGATTGCAGGCTGACATTACACTGTTGTCTTAATGTGTATAAATGTGCTATTTCCTTTTAGTCGGCGAATCCCTTCCCTCCTAATTCTCTTCGTGTTGATTTATTTAAGTCAAGTGGGGTTTAAATTTAAGTTTAGTGTTTATGTATATTAGGAATTATTGTTATATATTATTGGGAAATACTTCAAATAGGATATCATGATCACACTGTCATAATGCTTAACAATGGGTGACCATAGTTAAAAAAAAACTCTTCAGGAAAGTATTATCGTCGGTGCCATACGGTAACCTTTTGAGGAATATAACTTTCTGACCAAAATATTACTGTTCAGAGGTTATTTGTTCCTGCTTCTCACAACAAGAGAATAAATGAATCGTGGGAAAAAATGATAATCATCAGGAAAAAAAATTTGTGGAACATGCACCAACTCAGATTAGAGATGCCCAGACAATCAAGTTGTTGAGTCAGATTAAAGTCTAAATTGAACCATGTTATTCTTTGAAGCCAAACAGAGTCAGCCCATAGTAAACAAAACAAATTCCCATGTCACACTGGATAGAAATCCCTGTCAATCTCCACTAGCTGCAGCTCAGTCTGCCTCACTTACCAAAGGTTGTACCGGCGTCAGGTCTGGAAACAGACGACACAATGACGAAACCGAAGCCCTCGTTCTCTCCACGCTGGATCTCCACGTCGTACGGCTGTAGGGAGGCGGGCACCACTGCACTTCCGCTGCCGCCTCCACCGCCGCTGCCTATGCCGCTGGTAGATCCACTGCCTGAGCTGACAGTGTTGAGCGAGTTCTGGCTCCCCTGGGGGGTCCGCTTGCCCTCCGTCAGACTAGGTGCCTGGGTACTGCTGTGGTGGGAGGAGGCCGGTGATGGAGGAACGTCACCCTCTCCTTTTGACACTGGAGAGGAGGAGGAGGAGAGTGGTTAGACGAGTGTGACAGTGTATTCCTTGGCCTGCCTACACACAGAAAAGTTTAATGTAAAACTTTCATCACCTCCGTAACCAGGGGTCTTGCGTCTGACAGTGAGGTTGACATGGCCCTGTTTGGCAGCCTGTTGCATCAGCTGCACCACCAGCTGGTGAGACTTGCCCACCACCGCCGTGCCATCCACACAGATGAGCTCATCACCCGACCGCAGCCGCCCGTCTTCATCTGCTGCCCCGTACTTCACTATGTGCCCTATGTAAATCTGGAAAAGGCAAGCCAGATAATGCATGTTAGTAAATAATTTGCTTTTTGTGAAATGATCTAGCTTCAGAATAATGATACTGTGGCTAATTAAGAGCCAAGCTGAAGTAAATTAAATACAAGTAAATGAATCCATCAACTGAGAGAGTACAATGAATCAGTGCATACTTAAAGGTGTTTGTGGCCGATGTTCGGAGAAATCAAGAAGGCAAGTGCGGCCATGCAGAGGCTTGTGTGCTTTAGGCATTGCGTGGGAGTGCACACACAGCTTTAACAGAAACAAGCGCACAACTACTCTTTGGCACAAACAACAAGTACTGATTCCTGTGGGGTGGACCTGCTTCCATTTTGTTTCCCTCTATTCCTCAATTTCTGCCTTTCTCTCCCTGTCTTGCTCCCTTCTTTAACACAAATATGGCATGCAACCAGAAGGATTGGTGGGCATGGCCTTTGACTTTCTTAACAAGCTGTCTATGGGATCCTCCAGGGAACGACAACTCCAGTTAGAGAGTGATGTGTGCAATGCTGGTTTACAAGCCAATCCACACAGGGAAACACAAGGAGAAGGAAAAACGGGCAAGAAAACACACCAAGAACGCTGAGAAAAAGGAGGAAGCGTTCAACTATTCAGCAATAGTAAGAATGTGGTGTGTGAGTGTGCATGTTTACTTTAATGTTTTAAGTCATCAGCTGTTACAATAATCTATTCATGAGATTCAAAGGTGGAGGGATACTTACAGGCTCCCCAGGCTCATTTCCTCCCAGGATGCGAAAGCCGAAGCCTGTATCCTTCCGCCAAAGGAAAATGTCCTGCTCCTGGCAATCTGGCACTGAAATACACAAGAGGAACAGTGAGTGGACGACACCAAACTGCCCAAAGACCTGATTGACCGATTAGCATCTTTGCACGCTAATCACTGAATGCTTGTTCTCTAATCAACTAGTTAAATCCAGTTTTGTCTGATTATAATAAATCCCCGTCCCCGTGCTGATCAATAAGGTGCTTTTCTATTAGTGTCAGTGTGAGAGGAGGCAAGTTCAGCAGCTGTTCCTTACTCCACCTCAGTCCTGCTTCATTGAGCTACTTGTTCTCACATATAGACGACAAACTAGGCTGTGGAGTCTCATGCTGTGACCATGTCATACTCGCAGACCTACAGTCTGATGAGTTAATCCATTTGTCAGTCTTCAATATTGCCCTGAATTTACATACATTTCATACAAGCCTATACTTTTTTGTACAATTTTACAAATTTTCTCCTGTTTTCCATTATACACAAAAACACAAAACTACCCACACGTTTACATCTCACCAGACAAAGCAGGCCCTGGAGGAGGACACAGGCAATTTGGTGCCGGTCTGTTCAGCCCACAGGAGCCAGTCCGCACCGGAGGCACATGCCATTTTTTTCCCTGCACTGCCTGCTGTCTGCACGGCTGCCACGCAAGGCCAACAGTCGAACCCATTATTTTCAGCTCTGTGGTTCCCCCGATAACTCACTCAGTGTGATTTAAGCTGCTGCGGCTAGACTTGTAATTAACCCTCCACTGACCTGTGTCTATGGAGTTGTGATCAAAGTAAACTAACAGTAGGAGAAGGAGCTGTGACATGAAGCGCTGAAGGAAGCAGGATTCCCCAAAGCTCACCTCTCAGTTACACTGTCCTGCCACTGACACGTGGCTCCTGATGCACCGATGCATGGATGCACCTACTCTCAAATGCGTGTCCTTGTATGTGGGAGCCTGCCTGAATACATATGAAAATACAGACACAGAATCCGGGCTTCATTTCTTTGTCTCTCTCCCTTTCCTGTTTGATTGTGTCTCGCCCTTCTCCCCTGATGACTCAAAAAAGGGGCTGCAGCTCCTTCAGGGGTTATCAAACAGATATACCAATCAGCCGCAGCTTAAAGCAGCCCTCTCCAGGCCCACTTAATATTTAATCATAAGCAGCCCTAGATTCCACAGGCAGCCATGATTATTAACCAACACTGCAAATACGCGCCATGTGCACGACTCACATGTCGAGCTGGCAACAATCACAAGTGTGCAAGCTAACGAAGCAGTCAATATTGAGGCGTTTTATTCAGACTTATTCTGCTTTCTGGTGTGCGCCCTGGGATGTGGAGTCTGACACTGAAGTCAGCGGATATAATACAGTAGTTAAAAAACTCTATCTAACAGTTATCAGTTAAAATAACCTTTCCTTGACCTCTATGTCGAAACCCAAAATCTTGCACCTTTTATACAATTCAAAAAGAGAAAAGAGGATGCTGTGGAACAGATCTTAATTTGTATCAACCAAAGCAATTTTATAGAAATCCATACACAAAAGAATGTTATACAGCCTCAGGTATTTGGGCGTCATTCCACAGCTGAGAGCTTTTTTACTTTTTTTATCTTTGGCGAATAGGAGATCTCAGGCCACATTCACACATAAAGTTAAACTCTTTTCAACTCATCTCAGCAAAAATGTAAAAACATAAAATAAGACTAGACTGAATTCTACTCACGTCGGCTCTCGTACATGCTCCTGGACTGCGCCCAGATCTTAAAGGGGTCTGGCTTCTTCTGGAGGGTGAGGGTGCCATCCGCAGGTTCCAGAGGGGGCAGGCCTGGCAGAGGCTGGTTGGGGGCGGCAGGAGTAGGACCCACGGCCTCGCTTGGCATGACAGTGGGTGGGTGGCTGGGAGAATCAGTGTGGATGCTGCGATGGCTGCACACACTGTGCTGGGAGCTGTTCTGGCTGTCTTTCCTCTCTAACTGGTGCTAGGTGAACAGAAAGCAGAGAGAGAGGTGTGTGAGTGATGGGGGCGGACATGAGCAGAGGATGGAGGCAGAGGGCAGCAAGAGTGATAAGTGAGTTAGTGATAAGGACGAGATAGGGGAGAAAGAGGCGAGTGAGAAAAGTGTTGATGGAGGACAAAAAGAAAGAAAAAGCGACCAAGGTCATCTTTTTTAGACATTGCAGTAGAAAATCTCTCACTATCTTTCTCTTTAACATCTGCTGGAGTGTGAAGAAAAATGATTTGGTTTCCATGGTTGCCAGACAAAGACAGTTTGAAATGTGGGGGAATTTTAATGAATAAAGATACTGCTTTCATGAATCCCATGAATCTTTGGAAACAGAATCAAGGTTGGTCTCATAGTTGAGGCTGAAATGTGTAAAATCTGGGCTAAGATCAAACAGTAAAATCCAAACAGAAGAATCATAGGAGGGAGGGATTGTGAGTATTGTTACCTGAAGATACAAAAAATAATTAGCTGTTTTGATTGTGAATTTTTTTCAAAATCAAAAAGTTTGGCACTGAAAATCTTCAAGTGTTCATGGCTTCAGCTCAGAATTAAAAGTCCTCATTCATTTAAATAGTTATCTGTCAAATCATCAATGTGTGAATGCATAAGGATCCTAGTGTTGTGTTAAAGAGTGTTAATATACATTTTCCCTTAAATCTGAACCAAAAATTATCCCTAACTCCAACCTACACAGAGTCTGTAGGTGAGACAAGACTTTTGGGCAGGCAGCCTTCTGTTTTTTATTTATAGTTTGTCCGATCACGCTTTGGCTGCCCACAGGTAGACAGTGTGTGTTGAGAGCAAAAGAAGTGAAACGCAGTGACCAATATACCTCGGCTATCTGCTTCTAAATTTGCTTCCATTCTTATGCAGATAGCTGTTAATGGAGATTAGCCAGAATGTTGTAAAACACCTATAAAACCCTGATAACATATGGATGAGGGCCACTTCAGGTAATTATGCAGCAATTCTTGCCTTCTTGTGGCCCAGACAAAATTAATGTGAGCCTTAAGTGGCCGAAATATCCCAAAACAAATGTGGGCCTAGCACATTACAAATTTGGGCCACCTCTGGTTGACATGCTGTATTGCTATGGCTAACTTGTGGCCCAAATCTGAGCCAAAACAATTTTGCTATGTGGGAAAGTATCGCTGCCTGTGTTTTGTGTGGAGGGTACAGTGAACAGAAGACATCCACCATCTGCACTGGAAGGCCCCAGATATTGGTTGTGCCTCTGAAATTGTGAAAGGGCCTAACTACAGCATAAAGCCGGACCCCAACCACAGATGATTGAATGAGAGAAGGGAGCATCATATTTAACAGGAGGGCAGCACACAGAGGCTCAGTGTTTGAAAAAAGTTTTTAAAAATCTGACTTAACAGGTGAATCCTCAGATTTGTTATTGTTTGCTTCCCCTTTGTATTTTTACGATCTACAGTTAAGAATCAAACATTGTTCCACACACTGCTTCTCGAATGCTTCGGTGTTGTGATGATCTGGTCTTATTATATATATTGCTTCATTTACTGAGCTCAACAGGGCACGCAACGAGTTAAACTGGACCACAAAGAAAATTACGTTAAACACTCTGATGCAATTGTTAATTTTAAATTCGAAAATGTCATTACAGTTCAAACATTAGATTTTGCCCACATTTTAATTAAAAAATGATTCTGGATAATATGCAACAGTCCTGATGTGGATCCAGTACTTCTTCTAGCTTTTTACTTTGTGGTTGTTGCAACGAAATATAAAATAATTGCTTTATTGATGACTTTCCAACTTCATGGTTTTGTTGGTCAACTTCCTGAATCATATTTCATTGTGTCACTGGTGACACCCCACTATTGAAGCCACTTTTGTTGTTTTAACACTGTGCTCCGCTTAAGCAGAGTACCAGGGGTTTTTTGTTTAATGGCTGGTTATTGTGCTGCTGGGAACTTGATGACTTTCTGTAACCTTTGTATTCTTATTGATTTTGATTATTACATTGTTATTTGCAGATGCACTTTATAAATCTTTTCATGAAAAATGAGTCTTACTGACTAAATGTAATTACTGAGTGAAAAAGTGCAAACAGCAACTGAATCCATCTCTGTCTGTCTGATATTAATAATAAATAAACGAAACGGTAGACAAGTCCTGGCACCATCTTCCATTTTCTCACTGAACAAGATGATGGGTCAAATATTCCAGGTCAAAATGCTTCTTAATGAAGATAACAGACACACAAAGTCTGATCACTGTAGCTGCACTTAATGGGTTGAGACAGCACAGTCTCTCTTGTATGTGGGAGTTTACTGTGAGCATCTATTTAGATTCTGAACTTGAGGCAAAATGGTTGTTCTGGGTTGACACGAAGTCGCATGCAGCGTGACATTTCACTGACATAACACAGAGGGGGGAAAAGTGGCTTTTCTTCAGTGGAAAGCTAATCCAAAGTGACAGTCAGGCAAGGCCTCTATTGGTCCCTACCGACTGCCTTACAGTGCCCCCACCCCTCCTCCATTCACCGTGCCATGTGACCTGAATAGGTGACACCCACAGCTCTGACTGAAACCGTTTCAAACTAATCCTAATCCTAATATCCCGCCATCCGAGGGGAGGGATTTTAATGTTGATTGAGAGACATGGGAGTTTTTTCCACTCAAGTGGTGGGAATTGAACCCATCACTGACCTTGGATGAGTCTGTCCAGAAGGGAACGTCCTTCGGCTTTTTTGCTATAAGTCACCGGTATCCGGGGGGTTACACCGGGTGACAGTCATTTAAAACTGCACCGGAACCTCTTCTGAAACTGCATTGATTTTTTATCAGGTTGAGATGAGCTGTAAAAATGTGGAGCCATTTGCTCTTTAAACTCCTGAATGACTGTGAGGTCCCTGAGAGAGACCCTGCACTGCCCACAGAGCTGTTTGTTTCTCCCCTCTTATCCGTCACAACAACGAGTCTTATTGCAATCTCTTGCGATATCTCCTCCATCGTTCTCCTTCTTCTTCGCTCGCAGCCCACTCATCATCGCACCCTTCTCCCTGTCTCTTAGCCTCTGTGTGTTCTCTTTATCTGTGGGCTAGTGATTCACTGCTGTAAGACAAGTAGCTCCACACTGGACCTCGCCTCTCTCATCCTCATCCTTTTCTCCTATATTTGCATCATGCCCCTCTCTCTCTCCCATCATCCCTCAGCTGTGGCATCCTGCCCTCTCCAACAGCTGGTCACTGTTACACTGCTCTGCCTCGGCTATGCTTAATCAGTCACAGCATGGCAGGAGCGGAGGGATGGAGAGAGAAAGAGAGAGAGATGGGATATGATACAATGAGATTTCAAACACAGAGGCAGGAAAAGAAAAAGAGAACAATGACAGAAAAATGCATGTGGCGAAAGACAGACAGTGAAAGAAGTAAACGAGGAATCATAACAGCAGAATAAAGTGTGACGGTTTATGAAGCTGTAGAGCAAGAGTTTGATATCATATCTGTGTCTTTTGTTCTTTAAATAGCGCTTGTTTTACATGCATACACACACGCGCACACACATAAAAGAGATGAGGCTCAAAGTACTCACCACCAGCTTTGGACTCCTCTTGGCTGGCACCACTCCTGCAAAACATCGGCAGAGAGACAGAGAGAGCATTAATGACCTGTGGTGCTCCTGCCTGGTCCCCTCTGATCAAAAACTCTCCAGGACGGAAGGATGGACCCTCAGTTTCCTGCTACAGAGCAGAAAGCAACTGGCCCTGCTCTTTCGCTCTCTCCTCCTCCTCTCTGTTGCCTTCTCTCTCTGAGCAACACGCTGCACTCGGCTGCTCGCTAATCTAAGTGATCTCCTCCCCCTGTGCTCTATACTGCTCCACTCGCCACTCTCACCCGTGCTTTTAGAGGAGCGGCAAATGATCTATCTGCATTAGAGGGGCTGAATGATGCTGCAACAGCCCCGACTGCTGGTCCAAGCTACAGGTCCCCCCCTCCGCCCCTCAGTCTGCTTGCCAGATGTTTCCAACAGGGAATCTCAACTACTACCAACTGAGAAGGAGCTCAGCTGCTTGAGCTTCATATCAAAAGAAAGCCTGAGCTTCTGCCTGACTATGCACACACTCTGAGTAACTACAGAGCTGTTTCCTCTCCTCTCCACTCCTCTGCTTTGCTCAAGGCTTACACCGATATCTTCTCTCTCTGCCTTTTTCTCTCGTTCCCTCCCCCTCCTCTTCTTCCACACACCATCACTTGTTCTCCCTCTATCTGTCTCCATCTCCCTCTCTCTTTTTATACCAGTTAACACACAGAAGAGAGTCACCAGGAAGATCAATCTCATTTGTGCTAATGAAATATTAATACTTGGAGGCAGTTGTCAGGGGAGAGGATTCATACCAGTGTGGGAATAATCCATGTTTCCCCACTCAACGCCTGTTTTTCCACATCTGTCCCAAATCCACTTATTGTGTGGATTTTGCTGTCCTGAAACATATTCACACCAACCTACTCAAACTCGAGCAGGTTATTTACCCCACACGCCAAGAGGGTGCACCGCTTTCCAAGAGAAATTCCCTTTCTGAAGCTCCTTTTCCTGTCACTTACTTCATGCACCATATGTTGAGACAAAAAATAGACAAATTAATGCATGAAGGCAGGATTGGGACAAAGTATTGCTGTTGCCAAGGCAATCAAGTAGATCTGTATACAGTGGCAGCAGTCGACTTTGTTAAATATGTGTAGTGAGGAGTGGCAGTGGCGGCAGCAGTACACTACAGTTACATTAATTCCCAACCTCTAAACCATTGCAGCCTCATTCTCCTTCTTTTCTGCTATAGGGACTGAAGGAAACATATTATTTCCTACCCAGCATGCACAGGGAAAACCCTACTGAGAGTATTAATGGAAGGTTCCAGCGACATTAACACATACAACCACATGCACACATCCATCTTAGGGCTCTGTCTGCTGCATTGGCAAAAAATCATTAAATGTTAAAATTCTCTGTTGCAGCACAGCCCCTCTCTCTACACAATTCATAATTTATCCTCTTCGCCCCCCCTCCCTTGCTCGCTTGCTCTCTCTCCCTCAGATTACGGGTGTCAGCTACTGAAGCGAGTGGAACGTCTCAGCTGCAGACGTGCTGATGAATGTTTTTATTTGTGTGTGTGTGTGTGTGTGTGAGACAGACCCATGAAGGACACAGATCATAAGGTGAGATGTCACTAATAACTGTTTCCCATTACAACAGCAGGTCATGTGACCCTGGAGCCCTAAATTACACAGTGAGGAACGCCAATAGCGACCTCTCACTTTTGAAACAACCTCTGAAATATCTTCAAACTGGCAATGAGGTCAGCGTAATTCCCATTAAACAGACAGAAATTGAATTTAACTATGGCCATATGGTTAATAAATTGGGGAGCGTAGAACTGAAGGGGAATTAGGTTTCAGGAAATTGGTGTAGTTTGACCCTGACTCTGCATTAATCCACTCCTGCTTGTGTCAGCTAGTACAGCTGATTTACATGCTGCGTCGTGGGGACACAAATCTAAATTCATGATGCAGTCTTTAAATCTGCTTAACTTGATGTATAGGTACAACTCAGCGTTGATCGAATCTGGCAGGATGTAACATTCATGAGTGGCATAAGCTCGTCGGAAGAAATATGGGAATCGCATGTTCTTGCACACACGCAACTCTTCAGGAGCATCTATAAATGATATACAGTACATATGCATGCTATACATATATAATATCAGCACAGGCAGGTGTGCAAGGAGGCAAGCTTTCATTTATACACAAGAGAGAGTTTTACACACACACACACACGACATTTACATTTTACAGCATTATACAACAGAATGCTGCTCCATTTTAAGACTGAACTCATCACTGAGAATGCAACACTGGTTTAAAAGGCCTGGTTTTAATACTATTGAGCCAACCTCCCACCAAAACAACTACAACTGAAGCCATTATCATTAAAATGAGAGAGGAACTAAACAAATAGGAACTGAAGGAAAGGTGACCTGAACTGTCTCCAAGCATCAATATAGAGGAGGAGGCCGCTTCTTCTTCTGTTTTTACACTAGACACTGAAGCCCATGATAAGTAGCACAATTACAGAGAAGTATGCCAGTGTGAAAATCACTGAACAACACACAGGCAGAAAGGGTAGATACACACATGCAGCCTCTAAGAGAACATGTTCATATTATTGAGCTGCATCAGATTTCAAACACATCGAGATATCAGTTTGCTAAAGGTCAAGATCCATGAGTCATTTCCAGTGAAAAAGGTCAAAACCATTCCGGCATCTGCCCCTGGATCCACATGGGCACCAATATTTATGGGTTCTTGATCCATCTATTCGTTTTTGTGTAATCTTGCTTTGACAGAAACAAGCAAACCCACCAAAAAGCAAATGGACAGAACCTCCTTGGTGAATGTGATGATAAATATGAGCACATGCCCGTCACTGTTTCTGCTCGATAGTTGGGGTGATCTGATCACAAGTGGAAAATTTGTTGGACTGGACAATTACGTCAATTCACACCTGGAATAACAATCATCTCCACATGTCACTTTCCTAGTCTATAAGCACATTAACACGTAGCTATATAGCTACATCATTTCCATTTACAAGGACCAAAGGCATTGTTTTTTTAGCCTGACTTGCTATGACAAACGAGCCTGTGTGTGTGTGTGTGTGAATGAGAGAGAGAAAGAGAGCAGGACAAGCAGGGGCTTCAACCAGTATCCTCAATGAAATAAGATTTTACCCCTTCAGTAAAAAAAAATTTGAAAATCGATTAGTGGTGGTTGATTTATTTGTTTCTGGCTGCCAGAAATAAATCTATGCCTGCAGGGGAAACACTGAGATTTGTAAGATGCCTTCATTATTAAACTGCAGTGGGTCACAGGACGTAAACTGAGTGGGCAGTCCAGCAATCCGGCCATTTGCATTCACACAGCCGAAAGAAACGTGGCCATGTGCGGCAGAGACCACCTCCTACGAGCTTGAAGCGATTGGCTCTTTAAATGCGTCGTTGGCGTTTACACCTGTATTTGAAGCTGACTGCTTGAGATCGGATCACCTGAGACTGATGTCAATGCCGGGTCGGAACAGAGCCTTTCATCCTCAAGCGACAGCAGTGGAAAAAAACGGGAGCTTTTCAATCAGTGTTGCAGCACAGTGAATGGCCCTGTGTTCCTGTACGCCATTGAAACTGTGGCCTTGGTGGGTCTGTGAAGAGCCCACACACAGGGAGTGAATGGTCCTTCCTCCAGGTTTTCTATATATTGTCAGAGGGTGTACAACATGAGTAATGCTCCACTTTGTCAAGCAAACTGTAAATATTTGCCCTTGCTCTACTTATAAGATCATCCTATTATCTGGCTGTTCTCTCACTTCCTCTCAGTGATATTCTCTCGCTCTTCCATGGCACGTCAGTTGCCATCACATTTCATTCCTCCACCTTCATTCCCTCCGTATTTTAATCCCCTCCCCTCTGTCTTCTCATTTTCTCTCCTCTTTCTCTCAGGGGACAGGAACGCTGTGCACAATTGTCATGGCAACAACGATAGGGAGACAAGATGGAGGAGTCATAGCTGACTTGGCCTCCTTTACAGGAGAGGAAACTGTGTTTGAGAACACCAGATGTTATCTTGAAACTTTTATTGGAAAATAAAATTTCTTAGACTAGAAAGATGAGGTAATACGTTTTTTTTAACACATACATATTCACACATGCAAATACCTTGTTTGCCGGTGCTCTGCAAACTGAAACTGACTTTCTCCGTCACTTCACAGTTCTTTAGCTGCTACTTCTTTTGCCACAACGACCCACTCTCTCCTTTATTTCTGTTGGATAAATAACATATTGCTACCCCCCCCCCTTTTAGCCCATGGAATTGAAACTAGAGAGATCATTTGTTAGGCAATCAAAGAGCCACAAATGTGGGTGGGTTGATCTGAAATTATTCAGCAATTGCAGGGAGCATGAAGGTAAGAGACAGACCTCTAAAATTCCATCCATCCATTATCTGTACTGCTTATCCTCTGAGGGTCGTGGGGGACCTCCTACCAATCACAGCTGACATTGGACCCTGGACAGGTAGCCAGCGCATCACTGGTTTTGAGTCAAATATGAAAGTCAGGGCTTGTGGACACTTAGATGACACCACACGAGCACTATAGAGGCATGTTATGTTTTTTATGTTGTTTTATTATGTTTGAAGTCTCAGTTACTTCAATTGTACTGGATTTGGCTGATCCAATGTTTACTTCTGAGACTCCAGAAGTCTTTGTTGACTCAAACAATTCACCCACCATTCCATCGGCATAGTGGTGAATGGATAATGACTGAATTTTCATTTTTGGGTGAACTATCCCCTTTAAGAGATAATGGAACCGGCCTAGTTATATAGTGATGCTCTGTTTGTTTGACCTTGTTCCTTTCGCGGTCTCATAGTAAGGGACTGTGCTGACTTTGAGTCCGTCGGCGCAGATTGATGAGTCACAGATAAGCAGATTAAAGCATCTTCTCCTCCTGCAGAAGTCCACCTTGTTCCTCCTCCTCTCATCCAATGATTCTCATCGAAACCAATCCTCTCATATATGCTCCCCTCGCAAAACTCACATTCTTTCCTCTAATCCGCCACTTTCTCAAAACATGATCCCCGGTGCTCCTATTTCTCATCCTCCACATTCTCCTCTTATCTGCCTTACCTCACTCCTCTTTGCTGCCGTAATCGTTGTTTGTGAATGACTGTGCCCAATAGCTGCTAGCGATCACTGCAAAGGTCACTGCATCATTCTGAGACCAAAAGCAGCAAAGTAAAGCACAATCCTAGTCAAAATAACTATTATTATCAAGTGCAGCTGCAGCTTATGATGAATATGTGTATGATTAATCCATCCATCCATCTATACTGCATATCTTTTGAGAGTCAAAGGGGGGAGCTGGAGCCAATCCCAGCTGATACATCCCAGACAGGTCTCCAATCCATCACAGGGCCAACACACAGAGACTAACAACCATACTCACCATATTCACACTTACATTTTAGAGTCTCCAATTAACCATACCCAATCATGACTTCAGACAGTAACCTGACAAAAGCAACGCTATTTTCTCTTATAATAAATAATAAAACTTTATTCATATAGCACTTTTCAAAAACAAGTGTAGAAAGTGCTTCACAAACATAGAAGCTGAAAAATGACATAAGATCTTATCTTATCTTACATGTCTGAGGTGGGTGTCAAATGACATTTAATATTTAAGCAGACTTTTGACACTCGGGTAAAACAGCACTCATGTTAAATTTATTTCAAGGTAAACTCAGCCCCTTTGTATTTTCATGGGACCTTAAGTCAAATGAATATTAACCTGCTGGCTGCCTGTTCGTGAGTGTGTAGTTTCTGTCCCTCATCACCTGACCAATCAATAATGACAGACTGGTATCAAAGTAAACACTGCTGTCTGTCACTCTGTCTGCCCCTGTGACTTCCTGTAGTCTCCTCTCCTCTCATCCTCTCCTTTATGTCCTCTCTGCCCTGCTCTTGCTCTCTTTGTAATCTACCTCCAGGCTCT